GCGGAAGCGCCTCCTGCGCCCAGGCAGAAGGAGGAAAAACGCGAGCGTGGTCCCCGCGGTGGCGGCGTCCCGACCGGGATCCTGCAGCGCGATGCGGCCCCGCCAAAGATATTGGCCCGTCCTGCTCAGGGACAGACAACGAGCGAGGGCTCAGCCCCTGCGTCTGCTGCGTCTGTAGCCCTGGGTGCGACTGATGGCGGAGATCCTGGCACTCCTGGCGGAGGGCGGGGTCGCGGTAGAGGCAGGGGCCGGGGTCGAGGGCGAGGTGCTCCTCCGCAAGGGTGAGACAGGAGCGGGCTGGCGATCTAGGACTGCTGGTGCACCACGCATCAACCGTCGGATGTATCTCTCGCGGAGTGCACCTCCTAGGCCTGTGCTAGCTGCACACTACCCCGGGATGGATGAGACGCGGCACCTGCCACGTACTTTGGGCCTAGCGCTTCGCTGGATAGCCGTCGCCGGCCGCGACAGGCACGATCTCGACGATCCCGGCGCAAAACGGCTTGGTTGCGAGATCAGTGGATCTTGCGGTATGTGCACGTCCGCCTCTTCATTGTTTGAGAGCAGTATTGTCGATCAATGTACAGGCAGGGCGTCATGTAGCATGGAATGTCCGGCTAATCTAAGTGCATCTTCACTTCAAATTTCCTCACTTCAAATTTTGAAGGTCACTAGTGTATAGCCTGGATTGTAGTCAAGGCAAATGAATATACTCGCGCCCACGGGATGGCGCAGTTCGTTGTTTTGAAGCGCCATTCATCCTCTGATTCATTCCATTCTAATCTTACTCGTTGACCTGGCGCCTTCTTCAATTCTACAGACCAAGGATCATCGTCCCTGGCAACCCGTGACCTCGCGCGGGAGATCCTGTCCATGTGCCGTGCAGAGGGGATGGGCATTGTGCCATGGGGTGTGCTTGGACAGGTACGTCCTCGTGTGCCCGCCGAAAGGCATCACTCGCGGAGAGAGACAGACGTGAAGGTGTCTCTCCACTGCCTGCTGATGTCTTGGCGGTGATATGGAATGGGCTGGATGAGTACATGACGTTGACTATGTGGTCTACAGGGAAATTTCAAGACCGAAGCTGAGTAAAGAGTAGGTCTACGCTCCGATACAGTACTCCGCAAACAGCCGAGGAAAGGAGCGTGAGCGCAGCGCTCGAGAAGGTGGCCAACGAGGTAGGGAATGGGGTGTCGCTGGGCGCAGTCGCGATTGCGTGGGCGTTGCAGAAGAGCACATACGCATTCCCTATCGTCGGTGGACGGAACGCTCAGCAGCTCGAAGAAGTTCTTGAGGTAGGGCTTCGAACCTTCACGCTCGACGGTGCAGAGAATACATGACTTATCACGTATCAGGCTCTCAATATCGTCCTCATTCCTGAGCAGATAAAGTCGCTGGAGGGGGCTGCGCCGTTTGTGTTCGGCTTCCCGTACTTGCCCCTCTTCGGAACGGATCCCGCCCTCGGAGATGGTCGGGGGAATGTCTTCGTGTCCTCCGTAGGCACCGTCAAATTTGTCAAGGCCCCAGCCCGATCGTCCCTGGTCCTTGAGCGTACGAGTCGATTACTCGCGTACGCAATGTACCAGTGTGGTTTCGCCGGTGTGTTGTCTGTTGATGTGTGCCTGCGTGTCGTGTATCGCCTTGTTTTTGAAGTCATCAATGATTGTAGCGCAGCGCTGTATGCGCCGACTTGGATCACAAGCGCAAAGAACGAAATCCAGTCTCCAGTTGCAACATATTGACGGTCGTCACAAGCAAGGCTGCGTTTGACCATCCCCCGATAGCAGGGCCCAAAGAAACACAGGAAAACATCAGATCTTCTTCGCAGTTTGGGAGGGAAGTGATGGGCGGCAGATGTTCTGCTATGTTCCTGCACGTTTCCGTGTACGCACCTCGCGGGCTCAGGCTAGACGCTGTGAATTGTTCCTCTACCGCCATGATCCTACCGTCCACTACCGCCCACAATTGTGCTACTACTTCCACCGGTGAATCGACTCTGTCTTGAATGTTCATGTTCTACTGAACGCAACGTTCATGATACATCCGTTAGTGCCTGGTTGAGTCGGCGAAGAGTACGGAAGTTGATGCGACGCTAACCTGGTGAGCCACTCTGCCCTCGTCGCAATGGAGCTTCTCTTGGATTCTCGCTGCTGACTATCTTCAAATAGTGACCAGAAAGATACCAACACTGCGTGATTCGCATGACACGGGTGGAGCAACACAGCACCCGAGCCGGAATCAGGCATCTGACATGTTGTCCGACTCAATCTGCTGGCGCTGCGAGTAGGGCGCTGCTCGTGCCTCCCCTGGCGTTCTGCAAGCTGCCTAAGACGGTTGGTCGGCGCACAAAGCCCCGGTGTGACCGGTGTTTTAAGGTTTAGGTGAGGTCGCCCAGATCGGACGACGAAACATCCCACCCCTGCCATCCGGCCTCTTTTCCGTCTCTTGCTGCAACCCATGATGTCTGCCATACCCTCACCGGCTGCCCTCTCCCTCGACTTCATCGTGGTTGGTGGAGGTCTGTACTTGGTTATTAACCCCTTCAACGAATCCCGTGCCTTTCCTGACTGTGCATCCTTTGTCTTGCGCATAACTGATGTATCACAATGACTAATCGCTCATATTTCATATCTTATGGCTGACAGGTATCGGCGGCCTCGCAGTAGCCTATGCACTCAGCAAAGCAGGACAACGGGTCAGAGTTCTGGAGAAAAATAACTTGAACGTCCCAAGCGGTGGGCATCGCATGACCCCAAATTCTAGCAAGATCCTACGGCAGTGGATCGGCGAGGAGGAGCTTATGAAATCAGCCGTGCGCTGTGTTCGCTGCAAGACCTTTGATTGTACGTATATTCAACCTATGATGACCACATTTGCGTTGACATTCGGATGACTAGTGCGAACTGGAGAGGCCGTGGGCTATATCGAATGGAAACCCGCTGTCATAGCAGAGACTGGTGGCGACTTCCTTCTTATGCATGTGAGAGAAGACCGCAATGATTTCCAGGAGCTCTTCTTTTGCTGACCCACCTGTAGCGCAACGACCTTGTGAGAATACTCCACAGACTTGCAACGGATGCAGGTGCCATTGTCGACTTTCACGCCGAGGTGACCTCCGTGCAGCAGGGAACGGAAGAGGACCCTAAGCCGGCAGTGACTCTTGCAACTGGAGAGATCATTAAAGCAGACGTCTTGGTGGGTGCGGACGGATGCAAAAGCCTAGTGCGGAAAGTGGTATTGGAGGAGGAGGACTGCGCAGAACCTGTCAGGATGACCTTGTATACAGGGGTCATTGATGCTAAAGATATGGTGACGGATCCGGATCTCGCACCGTACATATCGTCCGATGAGGTGAGCGTCCGTGAGCAACTATTACTCTGCCTGAACGGTCCTGAACGGAGCAATAGTGGGCAATAGGCATGTCACCCGGTCGCTGTATGATGGGTATGTGATGCCTGGTTCTGGTCTCCTGTATGCTCTGGTGACCTTATCATGCGGGTTTGATCAGGACATCCCGTGGTAGGCTGTTCGACGTGTCTGCGTGGTCTTGTAGTCCCTGCTGACTTTGTACACGTTCCACTCGTGCAGGCGGCGAGAACCCAATATGCGATCCATCTATTTTATTGGGACAAACTAGATAGGCTTCCTCAGGGCGGCGAAGAGAGTTGGGAAGATCTCTGTTCTATAGACGGTATCAGCACTTCGGACGCTTACGGCCCAGCGTACGCGTTTCGCAGCCTAGTTCCTTTTGTAATGTGCTCTAATACTCCCCATACTAGATTCCAGACGATGCTCAAGCTGACCACCAACCTCATCCGTACGCAATGGAAGAATCATGAGAACACAGTCGAATGGGTGGACTCCACTGGCCGAATGGTTCTGCTCGGCGACGCGGCGCACCCGTCCTTCGTGAGTAAGCCTTTGCTGCCCACCTTCATTACCTCTCACTTCTGGGATGTTCTAGCCTGGAGGGACCCACTCGATAAGCCTGGCCATCGAGGACGCAGTTGTGCTCGGCTCACTTTTCTCTCATCTGAGCACGATAGACCAAGTCCCCTCTTTTCTCGGCGCCTACCAGGAGCTCCGCCAGCGGCGGTGCGAGCTTGTCATGGCCGCGG